GACACATGTTTTATACATCCATCAGGTGTTTGCTGCTATAATACTCCCCCCAGTCACCTCCTTCTGCCAGCTGATAGTGAGCTGATCCTTGGCAAGGGTGTCCCCAGACCACTGTGCTCCTCAGCCACCAGCAGGTGTCTCCCTGGCCCTTCAAAGGCCTGGCTTGTGGCACAAAGAAGGCGGAGCAGTGTTGCTTTAAGCCTTTACAAGCTCTACAAATCCTCAGCTGCTGCTTCCTAACAGGGCCCACTCAGCCCGGCACTGCCTGTCTGACCTTGTGGTTATTGATGAGCGAGTCGACCTGCTCCCTCCGACTCTCTCTCTTTCTCTTCCCTCCTGCCCTTCCCCTTGCTCTCGCTCTCTCACTCGAGCTCTCCCCCTGTCATCTCTCTTACCTCCAACAGTGAGTTAAAATGAGGGGAAAGAAAGGTTGGGCTGCCATTCACCTCCTCCGTTTTTTAACCGGTTAAACACACGGTGCAGGAATCGCTGTAAAGCCTACGTGTGCACACATTTACATGCATTTTCTTCCTAAGATAATGACTTTTTTTTTTTAAATGGCATGGCAGTGTTGAGGTGTAATTTAATTTCCAGATATTCACTTGTTCTAATTAAACACTAGTCCTTTGTTATATCTTTGATGACTAACAAGAGCCAATTTACAGATTAAACCCATGATGCTATGGAGATATGACAACAGTGGCAATTATGAGCCCGCCTCTATTTACAAGCTCTCATCTATCTTACAGATGCTATCGCTTATTATTTTCTGTGTGCTGCTACCTTTACGTGACGTTATTTGCCTTGATTCAGATAGTAACTCCGGCAATCCTGCCTGACGCTTCTGAGCGTGTGAGGGGAAATCGCTGCAGATATGTGCCTTACTTGAGCTTAATTTACTGCAAATTGCACAGCAGGCGTTACACAACAAGTTGAGCTGTGGATTCCTGCACAACAAAAGACTCGTGGGTGTGGGGGGAGTCGGAGAGTGGGACGAGAGCAGGGAGACCCGCTTCCCTCTCCTATTCAAGGGGGAGCTAAAATATATGTATTGAGTGGGAGCTGTAATAAAACGAAACGGGTGAGGAGATGCAGGCTGGGAACAAATATGAAAGGCAGTGGAGTATGGCGGCAAGGCGATGGAGCACCACCGGAGGATTGGATGAAATTATCTCTTTATAATCAGGGGGCTTCTGCATGGCTGCCTCCTCCATTGCCCAGTGACAGATGAGGCCTACCTCTTCAGATGGGCTTTTCACAGTGCTATCAGCCCACCTCTAGGGTAAAACAATGTTTTTCTTCCCCCTGTAACACTACTTTAAAGCTTTGTTTTCGCACGGCACCCCGCGGAGAGAGGACCGTCTCCTGTCAGACGGGGTCCATGTTTGTCTCATTACGTGATCATGTTACGTAAGCGTACCTTGAAAAGGGCTGCGGATTTAATTTGATGACAAATCTGTGCCACAGGAAGGGCTGGAAGAGGGTGACGCTAAACAATGTTGAATGAAGACACTAAAGCGCAACATTATCTGCAGTAAGTAAGAGGGAATTGCTTTTTGAACTGTCACAATCGCACAGTTTGGAATCTAAACATTATTTCAGACACCCAAAAACCTTCAAAGAGAGTTTCTAGCTTGTTAATGTAACGTAGATGAGCTGCGCGTCTCCGCTCTGCAGGATAAAAACAGTCGGAGAGGGAGAAAAGTAGACAATGATTAGCTTTATCCCGCCATCACAGCAGAACAAATGGATCACGAACCCGCGCCGCTTTACACAGTCTCTCAACTGAGCTGTTGAGGCGCAGGGAAGTGGTAAACAGATTTAATTTATTCATATAAATGGCTTGTGAACCAAAACAGTCAGGCCACTCTGGGAGCGAGCAGTCTTGTTAAAGGATATTTCCAGTTTATTACATTTCTTATTTCCGTAGTTTTGGCCATTGCTCGTGATAATATTGTGCTCTCCAAAGTAATTGCTGAGATCTGGAAGCACAGTGACAATGCAACTACAAAGTGCGATAGGGCAAGAAATAAGATGTCAGACAAGTCGACAGGCCATCAATTCAGAAAAGATATTTGAAGGTAATAAAGTGTGCATACCTATGATATGGATTAGAGCGTTTTACTTCACAGAGAAAACAGCACATATAATGCAAGAGCAGTGAATCAAAGCTGAACTGGCACATCAGTCACTAAACTATGATGGATGCTGATAACACACAGGCGGGGTAATAATTTTAGCTCATGTGGAAGTTAACTTAAAATCTATACAATCGCCTGAGAGCGTTTCCTTCGTGCCCTCCTGACTCATGTACCACATTTGAATGGAGACATTTTTCTAAAGCGCATCTCCCGAGGCGCTCAAAGTATTCGTCGACATGAAAAGGTGAGAGAGTGAGAGCGGCTACAGGTGTAGAAAGACAGCAAACCACGCTGGCTACCATCCCGACCACACGCGCGCACACACACAAGCACGCAGATCTTCTCACCTTCCCTTGAGTGCTGGGCCGGCATCATGATACCATAACAACACCCTCAGTCACTCGTAATGTGCTTTACAACAACACTACAGGCAGGGTGTTACACCTCCGCAGAGCAGTGTGAAACACCCCCCTCTCCTCGACACACACCAAAACACATGCACGCACACACACCTCGCTAATCGAAAGCTACTAAGCTAAGCACTGCTGACACTATTAAATCTGAACAAGGTGGCCTCAGTGAAGAAATCAGCATCATTCTCATACCTTATGGGGACATGTCAAGACTCAAGGTGATCCAAGTCTCCATGAGTCATCTGTTGTAGGTGAATTAGGCAATAAAGGACTAATCTGCACCATCATTGACTAGGGGTCTGCTGTTTGCAGCACTTGCTTAAGGGTGATAAAGATGAGGGAGTAGGAGGAGAGAAGGAAGAAGAGGAGGAGGAGGAGGGGGAGGAAGCATCTCTTCACCCTCATGATTTTAATGAGCTTTGATTCCGAGATATGTCTTGTTTTCTTCCGACTGTCGGCTGAGGCCGGCGTGAAAGCTCTCCTTTAATTATCTCAACATTGTAGAGAAGACCGTTTTTGTTTTTTTCGCACTGAGGGATGGGCGTTCAGTTTAGAGAGGGCACCTCTAGGACTCCAGGTGTCTGCCTGGTAAGTGGCCAGGCAGGCAGCGAGGACAAAGCTGTGTTTGTTCGACGGAGGAAAAAGCAGAGAGGATGGAAATGTGTACGTAACAGTGCTTCTTCCATTGTTGCCTTACAGAATGTGCCATAATCCCCGGCAGGCTCCATCCAGAGCTGGCACGGAGGATAATATGAGCTGCCTCCTGCCTGTCCCACCTCCCTGCTCTACCTCCCCTCCCCTCAGCCCTTCTCCAGCACCTCCTCCTCCCT